CTACCTTACAGATCTTTAGCTTCTTCCTTACAGAACTTTGGCTGCTGCCTTACAGAACTTTAGCTAATTTCTTACAGAACTTTAGCTGCTACCTTACAGAACTTTAGCTGATTCCTTACAGAACTTTAGCTGATTCCTTACAGAACTTTAGCTGCTTTCTTTCAGTACTTTGACTGCTACCATACAGAACTTTAGCTGCTGCTATACATACAGTAGCTTGAGCTGATCCTTACAGATCTTTAGCGGCTACCACACAGAACTTTTGCAGCTACCTTACAGAACTTTAGCTTTTGATTTGGTTTGGTTCACACCAAGGTTGGCTCATTCTTTGGTAAAATGTAGCTCTATGGCCAGAACCAAATCCAAGTCCGGGTGAAATGTCTCTGTCTTGTCCTCGCAGTGATGTCAGTGTCCCCAGGTCTCGTCGATCTTTCGCGTCTTTACCAGACCGAGTTTGTCCGGAGCATCCGTGCAGTCGGCGTCCTGTGGGCCGTCTGCACGCTCTGTTTCGCCATCATCCATGTGGTCATCCTTGTGCAACCGTCTTGGATTAGTACTACAGACACCAGGACATCGAAGGTGGTACTGCCAAAACCCAGTGGTACCATGGGACTGTTTGAGGTGAGACACTCATCTCTGAACCCTGACTGTCCATTCAGAGCTGGTCTGGACTTCAGCAGCTGTTTTGTCAGCTCCGAGGTCTGTTTCTGGTATATCAGAACCTCCAAACAAATTCTGGAGTCCTGTTGATCCCCATACTTCTGTTTGTTTTAAGGTGTGTATGGAGTCGGACTGGCCAGTCCCAGACTGTCAGGGTGCTTTGTCCAGTCTGTCGCCGCTGCCGTCCTTCCAGTCAGTGGCAGTGTTGGTTGGAGTGTCCCTGTGGGCCGTGTGGACCAGCGTCCTCTGCCTCTGTCTCTTCAGGTTCTGCAGCGCTGCAACCGTCTACAAGATCTGCGCCTGGCTGCAGCTGACAGCAGGTCAGTTTGTGGTTCTGATGGTCCCATTTTCCACCGAGGCTGTCTGTGTTTCTGCACTTCCTGTCTGTGTTTCTCCACTTCCTGTTTCTCTACTTCTTGTCTGTTTCTGCACTTACTGTTTGTGTTTATGCACTTCCCATCTGTGTTTCTGTACTCCCTGTCTGTATTTTTGCACGTCCTGTCTGTGTTTCTGCACTTCCTGTCTGTGTTTCTGCACTTCCTG